CTGACTGGTAGACAATGGTAATTCATGGACTATTTCTGAATGACTAAGATATAAGAAAAAAGAATTCTACTCATGCCATTTATTATGGGATTTGATCTAATTTCAGGCTGAATTTTATCTGTTTTAAAGCCAGATGCTAAAGTAATGTCTGCATATCAAATACATTGTAAAATATATTTAACAAAACCCTGCTTATTTTACATGGATTTTTAAATCAGAATTTTTCAACTGACAGCCCACAGAATGGCTGTGCATTTCCTAGAGCTCCAGGAATACTACAAGACCCCAATGCATTAGACACACTAAAACCCAGAAATACATTAATTTGGAATTTCTTCTCATGTCCATCCATTTCTATCCAAGGAATTCTATTCTTTCATGAATTCCAAGCAGCACTAGTTCATTAAAATATTTTAAGTTATTTAATTATCATCAATGTTATGGATGGTTAGAATAGAATTTGGAAAAATATGAAATCTGCAGTGCAACTCTGAGGAGCAAACCACAAATCTGACCCTTTCTGAGTACCATGAGACCATCCATTCTCCTCATCTATCTGCAAATTAATTTAATGCCTTGAAACAGGAACTCCATTCTCCAGTGTAATAAGTGTATTTTCTACATTCCATATAGCTCGTGCTTCTCACTATCTCTTCCAGAACTACCATTTTAGTTATTTCCAATTTATTGCTTCTTACACAAAGAGTTTGTTAGGAGTAATATTATTTCTCCACTTCTCTAACTCTAGTGTGGCTCGTTCTCCCAGCACTAGAAAAAAAAGAAGGATCATACCTTAGGAATGTGAGACTTGGTCCAGAAGCACAAGAGCTATGTCACAGAGAAGAATTAGCAAACATGAGCTCTCAAAGAAATGCTGCAGCTGCAGGTCAAATACGATCCTTGGGTGTACAAGACTACCAAGCAGGACTCCATGTCTCTGTCTCTGACACAAACTCTGCTGGAAACTGTCTTCAGCTGGCTGTCCCCATTCAGAATGACACTGATTATACTGAGAAAGCAATAAAGCTGTGAGAGAAAGGCTCCAGTGAAAGGCTGCCAGTGTCCAAAGAGTAGCTCTGCAGGTGCATTTTCATTTCATTTTCCAATGAAAATGGTCTAGAAGCATTTGCACACAGGCAAGCAGCCTGAATGTGGAGGTTTCTCAGTCTATAGCAATGACAGAACAAGACCCCGTGACTGGGAGCTAAATAAATCAACCAACACAAAAATATTAACAGAGAGGAGAGTTAGCTATGACACAACAAATTTCTGAAATCATCATCAGAGGGCTCTTAATGAAGTGTGTGGGTGCTTCAATCAGCCTTCTTTTTCCCACAGAGCCAAGAATTAATGCAGAAAAGTCAAATGGTCTGAGCTATACAGCAAATATCAGTGAAACTGAGTATCATGCCTCAGGAGACTCTTTCTCACCTTACACCCCAGTGCTTCAGTGGATATGAGGCTGAGGCACAACTAGTACTCAAAAGAAATCTCCAGAGAAGTGTTTTCACCTGGACAGAAGGTGAATGGATAAACAAAGGCTCTTCTGAGCCAACAGCAATATAAACCATGCACCCTGATGGCCCTGGGAAACTCCTCCTTGGGAAAAGGCCCTCAGCAGCCTGCAACAACCTCTGCCACAGAGGTTCTCAAACTGCTGAAAAACTGAGCACCTGCCAAAGGCAAGCATGGACCTGGCTACGAAGATGTTCTCACTGCCTTTTGTTTCCAGCTGTTAAATTCCAGCAAGAAACATATAACATAATTCAAATACTTTACTCACATTGTTTTTCCCATAAGCAATTGCTCTAGTTGCTCAGTCTTGGAAGATTTAAAATGAGAGATTAATTTGATCCCTTTGCTGTAATATAGCTCACCCTACAGAAACTATTTCTAGTATATTTATTTTAAAATATTTATCAGAGTTTCCATATATTTGATTTAGCTGAAAAATTGGGCAGTAAACTTTGATGTTAATACCCACCACAACAGGAATTCAATGTTTGAATAATACCTGCAAATACTTTATTTGTTACACAGATGAAGTCTGACAGCGTGCCAGCCAAGCTGTAGGTTAACATAAAGATCACAAAAGGCAGAAATGTCAGCATGGAAGTATACACACTGAGTTCTGCAAATCAGAAAGGGAAGTCACGATAATTTTTTTTTTTTTTACTTTTTTTTTTTTTTTACATCAGAACAATGTGCTGGCAAGAATAGACAAATGTAATCCCTGGTACTCAGCAGACAGAGTACTGCTCCCCATTCTCAAAGGAAACTGCCAGTTCCTCTTCCCTTGTCACCCCTAAGCAGCACCACTGATGTTCAGCCTGTTCAAGGGTCTATTCCCAACTCAGGACAGCTGAACACCGTGTGAGTCACAGTTCCCAAAGGGAAGAACAAGATGAGACGTGCCCTCCCCAGGGAGAGAACTGGGAAGCCATCCTGCCACATACCAATTTCAAACCTAGGGGCAACTGCCACTCTAACCTGCTATTAAGGATTATGCAACAGTACCTCTTTTGGCAGCAGATCAGAGTGTTTCAAAACAATGATGCTTTTCATTAGATTCCACTGCGTTTTGGGAAGCAAATGCAGATGCAACAGGCCTTTCCAGAAGCATGGTAGCAACTGACCAAGTATTTGAGATGCACAACTGGGCTCAGTGGCACAGCCATTCCGAGAGCATGCAACCAGGACAGCTTGGATAATGCAAACAAGCCAAAAGATCACCTAGATCATTTTTATTGTCTTTCCTTACTGACTGAGCTTACTGGTAAAAAAACCCTCGTCTCTGAAGATCACATCCATTCTTCATTAATATTTTAAGGGAAGAAACTTCATTCTAGATTTTTTCAAGTCTTGAAAAAGAAGGACTTGAACTCTCTTCCATGCAGGATGGGCCCTCTCTACACATTTATGGGCTATACAAATAGATGTCACAGCAGAATCAGCATCTGAACCATCTCTGCAGGCTGGAATATGAACTCACATCTCCCTCCAGCCTCGGCAGAAAGGTTTTCCTGCTCAGCCCCAGTGAGGAAAGCCAATTGACTGCTCAGCCTGAGTCCCAGGGCTCTAGACACAACACTCGCCAAGGGACACGCTGCTGAGTAAAGAGCTGGGGAACACTGGCTCCTCCTTCATTAAAAAAAAGGGGATTGAAAATAAACATTGAGATCAACAGCTGAAAACAATCCAATAATTCTGAGAATTGCTCTGTCAAAACCAGTGAGAACTTTATTTCCCTGCTAAGAATTTTCTTTTCCAGTGCCATTCCCTTCTCCTCCTAGCTTAAGGAAAAAGCTGACCACACGCTCATATACTTACCTGGTCTCTCTTCTTTTTGAGAACTTACCCAACAGCAAGAGACAGATCTTTGACAAATAAACCCATCTTTCAAAAAACCAGATGACTATGGAACTATGCCAGACATAGAATAGTACCCAGCAAAGCCAGGGACTTCATACACAAAACTCAGCCAATTTTCAACTTGCTATTTGTTCACAAAACCCAAACCAAAATAATTAAGTGCTCAGCTATAAAGGGCACTGTGCAAATAAATACAGAGATCATTTAGTAAGAAGGATCCTGATTCTCTGTTATCCTAACATAGAAGGCTCCAGACATATACTAGCCTAATTTACTAGCCTGTAAGATTATGGGCTTCCTATTTTCATCCATAATAATAGCTACCCACCTCCCTTCCTTGAGGCTTATCCAGCTTTTCAGAGGAGCACAACCTGTGTGCAGGCTCAGCTCATCAAAATCAACCCTGGGCTGGCTCTCATACTCTCCTGAAGTGCTCACAAATGCCAGAAATACAACTTCCTCCTGCTGTGTTCCTCTGAGTTCAGTACCTACAGGTACCCCTGCCCTGCAACCTGCACCACACAAAGTCCTCTTTCTCCCCAAATCAGAGGCTGGCTGGTACCTAGCACTCACCATGGAGATCACAAAGGCAAGTGCCCACAACCAACCTATCCTGCACTCTGCTCTCAGCAGGCAGTGGCTCCCTGCTGATGTGAAACAAGCCACACAGACCTACCAACTGAGCAAGCACAAGGATGGAACATCGGGGAACCTGAACACTGCACAGTGTTTTGAAGTGCTCTTACTGTGTGAAGTTCCCCCCATCCCATAAGGAGAACAATTCATTACTTTTCTGACCTGTTTTTTTAATCAGAGGCAAATATAGTAATTATAGTCTGCCTGATTACAAGTGAAATTACAAATCTGTCCTAAGGGCACAATACTGTCCCCATCTAGATGTTATCAGCCCCCAAATCTCATTTAATCTTAACAGATGTGTAGTACCAAGGCACCACTGCAGGAAACTCTACAAGTAAATTAATTTCACAAATACTTTCTTTGCAGTATACACAAGCTCTTCCAAAAGACTGTTAATTTGTACAGCTTTTGTTAGGCATCCTATGTGACTAAATTAATCAGTAAAATAACTGAACATCTATGATGACTTTGAGCTCTTGCTAGGTTTCTGGTTTCTCTTTGATAACCTAACTGACTCTTCAGCTTTATCAAGTGATTCCAAAGACCTACATTAAACCGTTTTCCAACTGAATCAACATCTTTTCTTTGGAAACTTCTTACTATCTGTCCAAGCAAAACACAAACCACTATGTTAATTTGGGGAAACAGTCATATTTCCATGGGCCATTCAGTTCCCTAGGTTTTAGTATTAAAACAATCCTGCTGACACAGGATCTTGTTCCCTGGCAGGAGCAGAGGAGGACTCAGAGTGTTGTCTCTGCATTTGTCTCAGCATAAGCAGTTCTCAGAAGAAACACAATGAAGTGACAGATCTACTACATCAGCTGCAAACTGGAAGAAACCTGCCAACCTGAAAGGTGAGGGAAAATTAACAAACAACTAAGAAGGCATCATCAGCACATCCCTGTTATACCAAACCTGAGCTGAGAGTTCCCAGCACTGAACCTTCCCTCTGGCCAGGACTTCTCTCTTCAGGGAATCTCAAGTACCTTGTCGACTTAGACTTGCAGATGGATTCAACAGCACAGTCTTGTCCTGCTGCAGAGGAGCAAACAGCTTGGATCCCCTGGGTTTTGAGATACCTTTAAAAACATCTGTCCCTAGCAGAGCAAAATGAAAGCCCTGATTCACCCAGGACTTCTTTTTCAGCGTGTTACCTGACCTACTGTAGCCACTAAAAAAAAGAGCTGACCACACGCCCAGCCAGCACAAAGCCTCCTGGGCAGCCACAGAAATGCCTCCTCCTAATTGCTTTCAAATCAGCAAATGAAAAACTCCCAGCCTTGCTTTGAGCGTCACAACATGGGAACACAGATCTCCACATGTTCTAACCTTTCCAATATTTGTTCCTGACCCCACCAGCACACATTGATTTATGAGGCCTCACAGTGCATTTTATTGCTGTCTTTGTTAATATCTACTCTCTACAAGTCTGTGAAGAAAAATGAGTGGTAGATTAGTAAAATACTGTTAGTTTTTCATCATCTGTTCCCTCCTGATTGCTCAAGTTTAGCAAGCAGAGTATTTTGGCCTTGACTCATAAAACTGGCAGTGCAATATTGAAAGAGAAGTTAAAACATGTGTAAAATAAGAGGTTAAGAACCTACCTAATCTCTTATCACACGAAAAAGAAAAAAAAGGATAGGTTAGACTGCAAATGTGTTTCTATCTAACTCCTACAAAGGCTACAGTGTTATTTTGATCAGACATGAAAAAGTCCCCAAATTATTGAAGGCTATAGATGGACACTCCATTTTGGATCACAGCAAGTAAAACTATTTCCAATTTTTTTTTTTAACAAAGGTAAACGATGAGGAAATACAGCATCCCCAAAGACTGAAAGACTCAAATAGGCTGTCTTGCTGACCTGCCCTTAAACATCACTGATGCACTGACTGATAATTGCAGCATGAAGCGGAAAATGAAATATGACTCCTGCCTCAGTTTCCAAACAGCAGAACTAACAGATGATTTACCAGTCTGGCTTGCCTCTATGCTAAATTCCTCTTTCCAGTTTCACTCAGCCACTGGCATTCAATGATGAGAAAGCTACAGGAACTGAACTGGAAGAGCAGTTTCCAGGGTCAGTCTCAAGTTAACTGATGCTCAGAACACCTGCAATTTATGGTCAACTGATCAGTTTTTTTCTTTAAGTAATGAACTCATTCTGACCTAAAAGAACACACTGAGAGTAACATGAGATTAACACTAGGAACTGAACAAGCAATAAAAGAGAAACAATTATGTAGCTACTATGGGCATTTGTTCTTAAAAGCTCTCAGGGAATACTGCATAGGGTGTCAGAAAGGACATGATTTAAGCAGGACATTTGGGACCAAATTTCACAGCCCTTTCCCGTGACTTCAAAGGCCACATACATCTTTGCATAGTCTTGAAATGGAATTGCTTTTTAACATCCAAAAAGATCAGAGAGAAACATTTGAAATACCTTTGCCAATATGTTCAGCTATTCCTAGGGGGGGAAAAAAAAAGGTATCTTGGAGACAGAGAAAGCAAACAAAATCAACATTAAAAGATGATTTATTTTTGATTGCAACTGTTCTATTTACTGACTTCCAAAATTACCTATGCTGCCTGCCCTTTGCAAGCACTTATTCTTAGATGTTGTTATTGGTAATTGCCGTGTTATGATTACAAAGCTCTGGCATAAACCTCAGGACCTCTTTTGGTTTTCTGAGAGCAGAATATTCACATGCTCCTCTCTGACCTCGTGTTGCTAATTATTCACTGTGCATGCCTATATGTAACTCACCACCAACTGAATCAACCCAAATACCAGCTAGTCTAGAGAACTCTGTGTGCTTTATGCTAAACCATGTTCAGTCTTCTGAATTTACCTTCCTTTCCAGGTGACTTTACAAACTGACTACAAAGTTTCTCTTGTTATACATCATGGCCAGGCACACTGCATTTGATGCAAATGCCAAGAGGAGTACAGTCCAAGTAGTAAAGTATGAGCTGATTCAGTAAAGTATGAACTGATTCCCATCCACAGCTAACATTCTCCAAAGGAGGTAAGGAATACTGATTTTAGCAGCAAACACTGCCTGAACAGTGCAGCTAAACGCTTCCTCCTGAGCCCAATGGATGCAGCTGGGATGCAGCTGTTCCTACCACAGCAGTGCAGCTGCTGCCAGGGAAAAGGCAGCAGCTTGCACAAGACGGGGACAACCCACCGAGAAGGTCTCACAATCCATATCTGGCCACCACAACTGCCAAAACTGGACCGCCCCAGCTGGAAAATATTTTGGGAAACTGTACCTTCTGGAAGATTCAGTGAGAAGTTGCTTCCTGAAAATCCAGCAAGAATGTATCTTAAGAGTTTTATCTATTATGTCAACAGGGAGAACTACAAGGCCCGGGTCAAAGCCAGCTAATCTAAAGGCCTGCTCTTAAATACACAGTGGAAAACCACTCTAACTCAGAGCCTCCTGCAGAAATACGTACAGGAAATTTGCTTTATCCCTTCCTCTGAACCAACTCTGCCAAGCAAGGTTCAATGGTAATCTTGTAGTAAGCACATAAGCAAAATAGCAAGTCTTTGAAAATATCTGAAACATAGCTAGGAGCTGTGAATACTTTATAACTAAATTAAGCTAAGTTTGGACCACATAATGACTTCAAGGAGTTTTTGTTTTTAAATAAATCACTTGTGGTGAAAAGAGCTGGAATGGCAGTTATAGCAACGACCACAACTGCCTTCTTATTTACAGGCTGGGTACAACATGAGCCGCACTAGAGTACATTGTTCCTGCACATCTGTTTCTACTAACTTCACTTTGGATCTACCTTCCACTCTCAGAAGAATCACATCTCCTTGGACTCCCTTTCCTCTTCCATCCACCTACAGGAGCTCTGCCCACACATTTTTCAGTTTCAAAAGAGATGCCAGCAGGTTTTAGTCCCAGCGTCATTTCTATAGGTGTCTCATTACTGTGGCTCCTGCTTTCCACAGCTGATGGGCTCACACTTTTGCAAACTTCAGTCAGAGTTGGTATGATGTACAGGGTAAGAACCCATTTGTTTTCTTCCTTGGTTGTTCAGAGAAGCTTGTAGATGACCACAGTGGGGTCTCCAACCTCCCCAGTTTAGTCAGAACGGTGTCTCTAGTGAAACCACCAAAAAAGGCTGACTGTGCTGATAAATCCCACAGCAGGTATTCATGCCCAGAGGATAAGTTAAGATTGCCAGCAAACTACAAGTTTAAGCTCTACCATACTGTACCAGACTTGAAAAAGTGACAGGACTTAAGAGGTCTGGCACAGAGCCACTCACTGCTACTATGTCTGGGGACCCACTTGTCCAGGAAATAAGAGCAAATCTGCTTTTGACTTTATAGTACAGTGCACACGCTGTTACACATTCAGGTAATAACAGACTGCCATGGGATTTTTAGGCTGAATTACTCAGGTTCCCTCCTCGATCTCATACTGCCATATAAAAGAATGTATTTCTCCTAATATGGAGATTTGTTTCTCCTAATGTCGGATACAGGCAGGTCTCCCCAGCACCTTTTTAGCCCTGCAAATACGTGCATGAGACTTAGTAACTACATTTATACAGGCAGGTCTAGATTATCAACTGTTTACAGTGGCTACCTTAAAGACCAATGCAATTTTTTCCAGATGTTGCTTAAGGTCTGTTTACCATACATAAAGTTCTAGCAATTATATATGCTGGATTTTCTCTGCAGTTGTGTTAAAGAAGCAGACTCATGTTATACATGTGATCTCTGTGTAGAGTGCACAGTCCCAGGTTTTAGGAACCATTCCAGTTAATAAGTCATAATGATTAAAAAACAAAATACTGCTCATTGCTACAAGCATCATAATCACAACACATACTAATTTCTTTAATAGCACAAAACAGACCTTTTAAAATAGGAAATATTTATATCAATGTGCTCTTCAAAGATACTCATAAAGAATAAGATTCAGCACGGAATAGCCAACTCTTGAAGACCTGGACTGTGGCCATTTCAAATAACAACTGAAATTCTATTTGTGCTGCTGACACTAAATAAATGAAATTTTAAAAGTAGATGCAGTACAGACAGTAAGTGAGGAATTCTCATGCACTGACTTGGAAACATCTCTTCCCAAATATATTCCAAAGAGCCAGGCAAGGCTTCCCCTCCTGGGCACATTCTGTTCTGTTTTCTCTCTTATTATTCTCCCTGCTGAAGAAGCCACAGCTGTTTTCTGTCAGGACACCCAGTGTTTGTGGGCCACCCCCAGGCAGGGACCTGTGCAGAGCAGGCGCTGTGAGCTCATCCCAAGGCACGTCACTCGGGCTGTGCCCTGCTGGGTACAGCACTGTCCTCAGTTTCCCTTGGGAGAGCTGCAGTGCCCTGCTCTCCTCGTGGCTTTACACTGGTTGGCATGGAAGTATTTCTTAACCTAAGGTGATTACTTACTGAGGTGTTCTTTCAAAGGAGCAGAGACAAGGCACAGGCCTGCAGAACAGCGAGCCAGTTCCTATGACAACTTTCCACTGCAGCCTGGCTGGAGACCATTAATCCACTTTCCCCAGGCCAAGCAGCTTCTCCGTGGTAACGCTGCTTTGTGTAGGATTGTCACCAGTGCCCAAGCAATGGCAAATGCCATGGTACTGAACCACCCAGACTCCACAGCACTCCCTAATTCGAAATGCCCGCAAAACTATGGGTTTCACTGAGTGCAACTGCATGAACTGCAATTCTGTCTCTTGCTCAAGATTTTCAGGGAAGAGCTGTGGTCAGCCCTTCTTCCTGCACCTCCTCGCACATCGGTATCTTCAATTCCTGCAGGATTCAAAGGCTGCAGACCCTCTTAGCTTGTCCTGGAGCACCAGACCTGCTCTGCAGCCAGCCTGCGCCATCCCCAGATAACAGCTCACTGCAAGGGCTCACCCACCCAGCTATCACTTTTCAACAAGCATTATTTTATTAAGTTGAACTGCAAGAGTTATGATGTGATTAAATAAAGCTATCTGTTTTTTCAATAAGCATAATTTAAATACCATATTCTAAGAGTTTGCTTCCCTTCCAATGCAAAAATAATATACTTGTGTATTTTTGAACACTCTTTTCAGTGTTTCCCAAAAAGCACAATACCCCAATGTTTACCAGAAAACACCAGACTAAGCTTTCTGTTTAAAAAAAAATCTCCTGAAAGTTAAAAAAAGTCTAGGATAAATATTTCTAGTGATTTTAAGAAGGGTCTATTAGCTTTCTCTTCAAGTTATATTCGGAATGAAACATGACAAGGAGTGACAGTTCTAGGGGGATAATATTATCATCATCATTACGATGATTAAAAACTGCCTACAAACTGGAAATTTGCCTGGGAAACTTTCAGCCTGCATCTGATTTTCGCTAGCGTATACCCTAGAATCATCGTATAACATTACTGCTACCAGTGCAAATATACTAACAGGCTGCTAATTTCAAACCTCAGCTGAAAACATCTCTCCCATTCTTACAGCTTTTCTCCCCATTTCTCTCTGCAATTGTACTTAATTCAATGGAGCATTCTGAACGCAGTTCGGTGGTGCATTTGCCATACAATTTGTTTGAATGACGCTGTACAGAGTAAAGGTTGTATTGTGCTATATAATGAAACCACGTCTATGCTTGAACAAACCCCAACTGCTGTTAATCAAACCAGCAGGTTCCTGAACGATC